ATCCATGTGCGAAAATGATGTCTCGTGCTCTCTGAACTATGAATCCTGGCATCCCATCCCATGTCCATACAATCAAGGAAGGAACAACTTGATCATTTTAGGTATATTCAGTTAGTCAGCTCATTTTTTTGGCCCTGTAAAGGCCCTGCAATAATACAGAGAAATGACCCCCTTTGAGCAAGCACTTGGTGACAGTGGGAAGGAAAAACTCCCACTTAACGGAAAGAAACTTTGAGGAGAACCAGGCTCAGGAAGAGGCAGCCATCTGCCATTGGCTGGGGTCGGGGGGGGAGGAAGATAGAACAAAAACACACAGAGCTTTCAAATAAACACTTAATGAGTTTGAGAAATGGCCTCAATAACCAGGAAGTTCAGTCCATAGTGTCTGGTTTCTTGCTGTTTATTGTTTGTGAAAGACATGGGAATCATGGAAATCTCTGAAGGCTTTGCATGTTGCATGTTTTCTAAGAAGAAAAGTATCTGTCCTTGATGCTGTTTGGATTTGATGCCTACGCATACTAAGTATTTGGGAATCTTCGCTTGTCCCTCCGTCACCAGAGGAGAATGATTTAAATTGCTGTACATTTTCACATTTCCTGTTTCTGGACATCTGTAAAACTGCATGCTGGGAAGTAGCAGAAGAATGGAGGTCATAATTTAGGCAGGGGGGGGGGAGAGAGAAGTTAGTGTCTGCATGGCCTCTGGGGAGCTTGGTTGCAAGTTTTTAGGTGACCCTTCTTCTGTTCTCCTGTCGCTTTAGTTTACACCCTCCCATTGCTTACACAGTCTATGTACTTATTGCTCTATACTAAGCCCGTCAGCGTTTTGTATAATGTGTGTTGTGTCATGGCCTCTTTCTCTTTTTATCTATCCCGCTTTCCCTCCATGCTGTTAATGCCTTATTTTGAGAGTTCCCTCAGGGAACGCTGTGTTTTCAGGGGCAAGAGAAGAAGGAATCCTGGGATATAATGTGGGCGTTTGGTAAAAGTGCTGAAAGCCAGAGTCACCTTCTGAGACACAGACCACCTCCTCCTTTTAGTGTGTCTCAGCGCAGGGGTGTGGAGGCAGGGGGTCGAAAATCCTCTGACCTCCACGCCCACTCAGAACATGTGGGAATGGTAAAATTATCCTATATTTAACCCCCAGGTGTCTGCCTTGTGTGTGTATGTGAGTAACAGTAACTGAGTCATCTGCAGCTGGGTGGTACATGGGTTATCTTATAGGGCGGAAAAAAAGTGGGTGGGTTTGGAAAAGCTGTGCTCCCCCTTAATACACCACAGTCACCTACCTCCCTGGGATAAGAACTTTCTCAGTTAAATATGTCTGAGGTTGAATGTGTGTACATTAGATATATGTGAAATCCAATCAAACATTAACTGTGTGGTTACAGAAAGCCACCGAGAATTAAATGGCAATCTCCCACCCTCTCAGCTAGATAATCATACAAAACTTAATGCAAGAGAAGAACAAAAAAGTCACCTTCAAAGAATAAAAAAAACATTTTTCTTCTTTGTAGAGTGAAAGCAACACATAATTAATACTTTTTTTTGTTTTACACAGAGAATATTTGTGCTTATGTGGCTGTGGAGAGGGCATTTGCACATAAAATATTTAAATTTTCAAAGAAGGTAACAATGCTGAGTCAAATAAATTAATGCTATTACCCATCAAAAGGGCAGCTTTATATGGTTATTCACTATAAAGTGAAAAAAAAAGCTTGGCTCAGCACAAACCTTCCAAACATCTGACTTACTAAGAGCACTAAGTAATTCCCATTAGACAGAGAAGGGATTTTACCCCTCTGTCTTCTGGTGAGGATTTCTTTAAGTCTTCGTTCTCAGAGGAAGTCTGGATTCTGATTCATCTCCCTGCCAAAAACTACACAAAGCTGGGAGAGCAAGCCACATTAAGGTGCTCGTTATCGCACACACTTTCCCTCAAGTATATTTGTTACCACATGCTTGTTCAAAGGCGCAAAGTTTACACTATGGTGTATTTCAAATGAAGTCTGTCCCGTGACCTGTGCCACGTCATCTCTTCTCGCCTCCATTTCTCGTGTCTCTGTCTACCACATTGTCCAGTTATGCAAAAAAAAGAAGAGAAAAAAATGAAAAAGAATGAAACCATACAAAGACACCCACACAAACAAACTCAAACATAAATACAGTTGCCCCATACTCTCAACATGCACAGTCCGTACACTTTAAGACCTCCGAGCCAGCAGAGCGATAAGATTAGAGGAAGTATGTGGGTGTGAAATAGCTGCGGTGTGGGACTTTCTGGATTCACACAATCTTCACTGACTGCAGGCCCTGCTTTTTATTAGAGTTCAAGCTGATGGGAATACACAGCACTGATGACACCCACACTCATATCCTGCACAGATACCGAATTCATACACTAATATGTTAAACAAGCTAAAACTTATGCATCAATCCTCCCCTGTCTGCAAAGCCAGACGCAGCTATTCTTAGGTACGATCACACAGAAAGAAATCCTTTATATAATGTATATTTGTGGACCTGAAACACTGCTATCATTCAAAGAAAAAAAATCTCATTGTTTCCATAAATGCTGCAGAAAAGAAGCTACGGAGGCTGAAGTTGATCTCAGGGCAGTAACCCTGAGGTTGTGACTTCTGCTCTGGAGCAAATAAAGTGAAACCCAGAACCATCAGTGGGTCCATTAACAAAGCCAGAGGCCGGACAAGGCTTTCTTTGTTTCATAATTAATGCAAACATGATAAGCGTGACATTGACTGTTGGGCGGGCCGTACATCAGAGTCCTCGACACATGAAAATGAACGTTGCCATTCATCATTAAACACGGCTAATGGACCCCACAAGACTGAATTATTAAGCACAACACAAGAGACCTTTGTGCCAGATTAATGGAAGCACACAGGACGGCGTATTTATTACAGTGATATAGAATAGTGAAAGTGTTATCACAGCGATTGTTGGCCATACAGGAGGCTGAGACTTTGTGCAAGTTAACGCAACAGGAACACAGTCGCCTTTGTGCTGCTGGTGTTAACAGATTTGCTGCATATAAAATATCCATTGTTGCATTCTGAATTTGTCTTCAAGGATCAGGGTTTCTACTTGTGTACATCAAATATTCCAAACTATAAATATACTATGCGTTACAAAGAGGGGGGTGAATGTTATTTTCATGTTTCCTGTGGGATGTAGTTGGTCTCCAATTGGTTTGATGTGTTTGCTGGAAACTGCTAGGAAAGACAAGGGGGGCAAGGCAATCGTGCAGATGAACAGTGAAAATAAATAAATAATTCATTTTACACTTTGATTTTTCTTCAGGATAAAAAGATTTATTTACATTCTTATCTATATAGTTGCTCAAATTGGCTTGATTTGAGTCAGTTAAAAGCCAAATATCCACAGTTTTTCGTCCATACTGTACAGGTTGCAGCATTTTTCTGCCTTCCAGACACTGCACAGAGTGAAAGCTGTGATCAAAAATAGCAGTTGTTCTCTGTGCTTGTCAATAAGAGCCCTCCTGAGAAGCAGACTTGCTGGAAAAACGAAACAGGGGAGAACTGAGAAGGGTTTCTGAACTCTCAGAGCCATGGTCCACAGGCTATTGATTGTTTATTTGGTTGGAAAGTTGCCCTGTGATCACATTTCCCTAATTGAGGTAGATTACAGAAAGAAATACGATGCTGCATAAATTAGGTTGCATGGTGCTCTTCTTCTACTGAATTTCATGTCATAATGGTCCAGTAATTGGATTTGGTGTATTGTGCATTAGGCCTTGTTTAGGAAAGAGAGGAATACAGACTGACTATCAGTAACAAACAGTAACATGAAGACAGGGTGAAATGTTCCTGTAATTTAAAAGGATTCACCACAATTTAAACAATGTAGACTTTGCAAAAGACTCTAAAGTCCTTATATTTATCAGTACAACCCTGTCTTTTAAAATAGAATCAGAGGCTGTAGTCTTCCCTGTAATGTCTTAATATCATAAATGCTGTTCACCGCAGAAAGAGAGAGAAAAAGAAAAGGACAACAGGCCTTTGAAAAATGATGCTGGTCGATCTATACAACCACGGCGGAAAATTATTCAAGTCGCTAATTCATTGCAAGATAACAAATTAAGCAGAGTGGTTTAATTAATCAGTTAATATTCAGGACTTGAGGAGCAGCTTAGTGAGCCCGCTGTTCTTGGATGTTATCCAAAGGGACATCTTTAGCATAAATTAACACACGGGGCACAGAGACTATCGTTTAAAGCAAGGAATTAGTTTTATGGTTATGTTCTTCAATGCTGCAGACACATGGTTCTCTAGGGTGATACTGAACTAATGGGAATCCAGACACTCATCTAATGGGGGCCATTACAATCCACATTGCATTTTTAATGAGACGGTTGGAGCTGTTGGCGCCTTGTGTCAGGGACATTCACCAGTGCTGGTTTTTACCTGGTTCAGAATTCAGTGATGGGACAGTTTTAAAGTCTTTCGGGTGCAATGGATCATAAAGTGGCATCTGGGGACGCGTCAGTCTCAGATATTACAGCTGTTTACCTCTCTACATTATAAAAGGTTTCTATTAATTTATACTAGCCTAAAGAGTTCAGAAACATATGATGATCTTGGGACAATATGGGAAACATTAGCTCCACCTTAACCAAAGCCAACACTGATATCCTACTCATCCACAAATACTTCATAGTATCTTCTATCATTCATATTACTGTTAAGTGAATTTGTACATAATCTGCACTATCCTACATTTCCAATGCAGGATGTTTACTTGCAGTTAATTAATTCTGTATTGCAGTATTGCTGCTGTTCCTTGGCTTAAGGACCTCTGCTCTCAATCTATCACTATAGAACGAAGACTTGTTTAAATTTTACAAGGTACTAAGGCACAATATCTTCACTCCTTCCTCTTGTTACTCCTCCTCCTACATCTACAGCACTCTTTATTGGATCTTTAAAGTATAAATCATGATGCTCTGCAGCAAACATTGCACGTAGTGATCAGAGAGGGGGGCTGCTGATGTCTGAAAACTGGTGAGATTGCGTGCGTCTTTGTGCAGGAGACTTCAGGTTAAGGCAGAATATGTAACCAGGAGCACAGGCTGGCTATCTGCGGGTTTCACTGGTGTAAGGACATGCTAGGACCCAATAAAGATATCTTCACCTAATAATGATGTAAGATTATTCATGAATCTCATCCCTGCTGCCTTCAGACACTGAGGTGGCTCCACTCCGATCGCCCATACTAAAGCAGACAGGTCGTCCTCAGCAGGGGGAGGGGGGGCACCTGCTGTCCCGCTCCTCGCTGCAGAAGCTGTGACAGCACATATTTCGCGAACAGCTGGAAGGAAAGGCAGTCCTGCAACACCTGAGCGGGCTTAACGATACGACGTCGTGCGTACTGGAGACGCGCCGATAGCTGCTCCATCCTGGGGGATCCCGAAATGATGCCCCGTGTGCCGGGCGGCGGCCGGACAGCATACACTGGCACATTTCTGTCGGCATGCCTGATCTCTGCATGTCAAGCCGCCCAGAGCTGTGGGGAGGTCCAGTGCGGCGTCAACCAGCACTGCTGTCCGCCCACCGTCACAGGGAACACCAGTGCCAGCTCGAAGGTGAGCTGCTGCCAGCTCTCCATCCACGCATTTTTCGACAACGTCGGCTGGTTCACGCGGAAGCTGTCCGGCATCCTGATCCTGTTGCTGCTCTTTGCCATGGGCTACTTCATCCAGCGGATCATCTGCCCTCGGCCCCGGCGGCACCCGCACCACGACCGCGGCGAGGAGCCGTCCCTCTTTCACGGACACACATCAGCGTCCCAGGATTCCCTGCTGGAGCGGTACCCCGAATACAACCTCGGGGGCTTTGCCTCTCCAAACCTGCCGGCCTATGACGAAGTTAAGTATTTGCCCACCTATGAGGAAAGCATGCAAGACATGCACAGAGACCGGTCCGGTGAGAACTTGTTGTCCGAAAACGAGAGTGGCGGCCAGGGCAGAGGGAGAGCAACAGGACCGAGATCCGGAGACCAGAGGCTGGCTGCCCTGGAGGTCTCAGGACCTCAGAGCCCAAGGACATCCAACTCTGTTTGACGGAGACTGGGCAAGACTACAGAAACATTGTTATTCTTATTTTAATATAGTCAGGGTAAAAAAAATCTTGCAGAGATACAACGAACAAGTGCAATTATACTCCTGAATGTAAAGAATAAAAGAGAAGGCTGAGAAAAATGCAGGACTACGTGTTTTCTGAGATAACAGGAACCTGCTTTCCTTTTGTATGCAAATGACCGCTTGGGTTATGGAAAGCAGATTATAAAGTAAGCGGAGGAGGCTGAAATTGAGGCGCTTTGTGTTGGGAATAGCTAAATTGGCTCCAGTACAATCGCATTAAGCTTTTTTCAAACTTCAGCACCTCAATTTAACGGCAGCATGAAACAGATTTCCTGTCAAACTGAGGTCCTCTCTTAGTGCTTAATATACTGCCGAACCTGAAAAATTCTCATACTATTTTGTAGAGCCTTTTCTTTATTAAATTTGCATCCAAAAAAAGAAAATATTTTTTTCAGTCCCCTTAGACATGGACTGAAAGAGAGAAAGGATTAGGGAAATATCTGTTATAATTCTTTCTGAGACACTTTTTTTTAAACCAGCCAGCCCTGGAGTCTAGCTTATCAGCATGAAGGCAGCAATCTACCCCCACATACACACTTCACTGGGAGCTGATAGATGAGCATTATATAAATGACCTGCTTGATGCTTGACATCTCTCCTGTGAGTGAAGCCTTACTGCCCCAGGTCCCAGCTTATGAACTCAAGAAGAAGAAAAATATGAATGAGATTACAGCTTCCAGACTGATAAGAGCTAAAGTTGGACTTTTATGAAGGCACGTCAGAGAAGATAGCTGCTGTCCCAAGGAGCAAAACAGAAAAATACTAGCTGACATGCGGCATTGAAGAAAATGTTCTTTCTTTGTTAAAGCAGAAGGATTTGAAGATGCCAGATGAGAATACATTCAAGTCTGCTTTTGCAGATGCTAACTGTCCTAAAGAAACAAGAAGTTACACTTTAGCTCATCTGAAAACTAAGAAGATTTTGAGAAAACATGCTTTCTGTGAATTAATGCCATAATACTGAAAAGGCAATTTTGTTCATTTAGTATTTCTTTACCTTGTGATTGACTGGGTGTCTGGTAAATAGTCACACTCTCCATATCGTATTGTCTTATCTTTAGGGCCAGGCCAAAAATTCTAATGAGAATCTGCATTACTGCTGGATGTAAGCCAGCCAAACGTCTTTTGTTGTACGAACAGTATTGGATCATTTCGAATTCACAATAATGGAAGGTTCTGAAAGATCTGCATTTTTTTTACATATGAACTGAAAGAAAAAACACTTTTCAATTTATTTGCCCGTCAACTTCAAGATGGACGAATGTTTTCAGTTTGTTGTGCAGAAATGAAAAGGAGGTGTTTGCATATAAACAGTGCACCAAATTAAATCCCATTAAAGATACAAGAGCAGGTGTAAAGCAGATAATAACCATCAGCTTATCAAATCAACTAAACTGATTTATCCCAGAAGCTCCAAAGTGCTCATCTTTCATCATTCCGAACAATGCAGAACCGTATCTGTAAAGCTAGCCTTTACAATTAGACACCCTGAGTTGATCCCAACTCTAAAAGTCTGAGTGTGATTGTGGTGGCTTTTGTAAACCAATATCGCCTGACCATAATGGCAGAGCCAGTAGTGATCACTGATGGCTTTCTTTTCCTGAGGGACATTTGTGGGCGGCTGGAGTTTGGACTTAAAAGCATTAAATCCAGACTAAAACAACCACTGATGGGTAGATGAGGTAAAGGATCTGAGACCCTGAGCGGCATGAGGCCATGTTTGAGGGCTAATGAACCCATGAGAAGTGTGATTGTTGCGTTTCATTTTCTCCTTCCTAGTCAGTGTAGTTCACTATATACTGACTTCCATTTGTAAACATCAACAGTAAAGCTGTATGTCTTCTCTCAGGGGAGAGGATAGTTATATACGCTCATGGGAGATGCAAATCTATAAAAACACAGGGATAAATACAGTATTGGTACACTCAGTGGGTTTTGAATCAGAGCCCATAATTCAGTTATCGTATAGCTCTCTGGTATAAAGAACAGACAAACTTCAAAATGTCAAATCAATGAGCATTATCCTTCTCTATCCTCCTCATAAATTCTGCATTACATCCGGGAAGTGTATTTTTGGGAGAGCTTGGCTATCAATTTAATATATGAGAACCAGCCAGTCTTTGAATATAGATATACACTTCTATGGTTTAATAAAAGAAGAGCATCTGTTTGGCACTGTGTGCTGTGTAACTTCAAAAATATGAAATATTTACACTGACCATTTCATTGTAAGATATTTGCCACTGGGACTCAAAACTATAGAAAGTCTAATCTAAATGTGACTTTTATATTCTTAACATTAAGATATGGCTGAAGGTAGAGGCGTGGAATTGAGTGAATCAGGTATATCACGCAATGCATGGTTTAAGAGAAAGCATGAACTGATTTCACATGTTGCTGTTTATTGTGTGTGGCCACTCCCAGTAATGGATGTGAAACGTGGTCATCCAGTTCCACCATTTAGCTGTTTTCTCACATCTATTTGGTTTGAGGTGAAGGAGTTGTTTGGATAAAGCGTGCTTGAAGCCAAGCACATGATGCTCACTTGCTTTGTGTTAAATTACAGGAAAATCGTCACTACTCTTGTATTATGTGGAATTTGAACACGGAAGATGTTCAGTGAACCCAACTAGCTTTAACCTCAATGACTAATTAATGATTTCTTTTGTCTGCTCTTAAAAATACATTAGTTCAGATAGTTGGTGGAAAGACAGAAATAAAAAAAGGCTTTTAGAAGTGAAGTGACCAAAACTGCAGGAAAACTGCTAAGAAAAAAAAAAAAAAAGCAGCAAGAGATACCCAACCCAAGAGAGAGATTTTCCTACTGTTTTCTGTGATGTGTGTCTGTTGCCACTCACTGTTTCATCTTGTTCACTTTCTACCATATCCATCTGCATCTTCATGACATAGTATAGGAGTCCTTTCTGAAGAGCCCTGAGAAAGATGTTCATCCTCCTGGACCACTAGTGGAGATGAATAGGCTATTACCCTCTGCTGATGTAGTGGCCCTCTGCCAACCAGGGGGTGGAGCTCCGTGGCAAGCGGTCTGTTTCACACCTCAGCAGCGGAGGAAATACAAGAACAATTTAAAAAGAGAAGCCCTGCATTATTTTAAGACTGTGAAAACACGCATGCACACAGAAATACCTTCAGGGTGCATGTGCAAAGCTTAAAATAAATCTCAGACCTCAAAGACAGTCCCTGATCCTTGTATAAAACCAGTAAAGTGTCACGACACAAAGGGGAAAACAAAGAAACAGGACATTTTGGATCAATACATACAGTATGGTTCACATGCTTTATTAATGGACATTCTCGCATTTCCACAAGGCAACACTATAAATGTGTAAACTATAAAAATATATTTTAATGTAAAAAAACAAACTGAAACATGACAAAAATAACACTTATACAAATTTACAGATGAACGCGTATACCTATTTAACTGTTAATGAAAACAGATTAACTTTAAACTTGATTCACTCAAAATCAGTCACTACAACAGGAAGGCCACAGGTCTGTTGGTCAGAAATACAGACAGCCTTAAAAAACTGTTATCAGCCACCCACAGTAACAGTAACATAAGCGATTTTGTTTAAAGCTTTATATGTAACTTGACAAGACTATGTGTGTAGTGTAAGTCAGGCATCACAGACATCACAAAATCTCAAAATTGTTCAGTTTTGGTTTTTACATGAAGGTAATCGTACTTGCTGTACTTATTGTGGACATGACCCTCTTAAAAAAATAAAAAACATTTTTAAAAATTAACGGCGTGAGGCCACGCTGCTCCTCACAGAGGTGTTAGCAGCTCGCTCTCTCTCTTTAGACAACTCCATCTCTATCTTTGCTTGGATTTTTTCCCAGTCCACTTCAACCTGGAAGACACAGTAAGATGAGATGAAATGAGAAAGTAAGAAACACTATTTTAACTGATAAACAGTTCCGGGAAGCATTTGGTAATGGGAGTTATCCCCCATTAAAAGAGAAGGAAAACAAGTTATAGTAAGTGTCTTAAAACACTGGCTTTCAAATGTTAGCCTCGGATACGCTAAGAAAGACGCTGCTAGATCGTCTGTAAATCCCTCCAAACTGTAAGGCTGGCTGAGCTCGGGTAGTAGAAAGTAACTTGTAATGCATTACAGTAGGTTCTTTCTGTTTAAGAGTAATTAGTGTAAGTACTGCAAACACTTTTAAAATTAGAAATGTTTACTGAACAATTTACAGGAGTTGGGAAGGTCGTGTAGGATGATAATGGTGCTTTTTAACCTCCAGTGGTGATCACATGGGTTGAAGTCACATGCACACATTTTTCCTTGCAGTCTGGCTGAAATCCTACCTACTGCTGAGTTTTTCGGGGTCAGCTGTTTACATGGGATATGATTTAGTACGGTCTGGTTATTGTATGCGCCAACACTACAAACTGGAAGAGTTTTAGATGTGTAAAAAAAAAAACCAACTGTCTTATCTCTTTGGCACATGTTTGATCATCCTATTAAAGATGGATATTTACCATCTGTACAGTCCAGTAGTTTCCATTATTGTGTCGCTCTCAATTTTTTTAAGAGTTGGATTAAAAACAAACTGTCCACAGAAGATCAGTTCATCTTGGAAGCTAGCATTTTTGGGAAGAGTAGACACTGTTAGGTCCATAATTTCTTGGAAAAGGACACTATTTTTATAGTTTTGCCTCACTATATTACCACAGTGGACTTTAAATAAAACTACATGTAATTGAAGTTCAGACTTTCAGCTTTAATTCAAGGGGTTAACAAATAAGTTTGGTGTTAACAGTTTATTCAACAGTTTATCCACCACTCTCAGCACTGGAGCCCCCCAGGGGTGTGTTCTGAGCCCCCTGCTGTACTCTTTGTACACATATGACTGTGTGGCCACTACCAGCTCCACCACCATCATCAAGTTTGCTGACGACACCGTCGTGGTGGGCCTGATCTCTGATAACAACGAGACGGCCTACCTGAAGGAGATTAGGAATCTGGAGAACTGGTGCCAGAGGAACAACCTCCTTCTAAACGTCAGTAAGACAAAGGAGCTGATAGTGGACTTCAGCACTAAGCAGGAGAGGAACTACCAGACCCCCGTCATCAACGAGTGCCCAGTGGAGAGAGTGGACAGCTTCAAATACCTCGGAGTTCACATCACGCAGGACCTGTCATGGTCCTGTCACATCAACACCGTGGTGAAAAAGGCCCGCAGCGTCTCTACCACCTCAGACGCTTGAGAGACTTCCAACTGCCCTCCAAGGTGCTCAGGAACTTTTACTCGTGCACCATAGAGAGCATCCTGGCGGGAAACATCTTAACCTGGTTCGGGAACAGCACCATGCAGGACAGACGAGCTCTACAGAGGGTTGTGCGGTCAGCTGAGCGCACCATCCGCTCCGAGCTCCCTGACCTGCACTCAATCTACAGCAGGCGGTGCTGGACCAAGGCCAGGAAGATCGTGAAGGACCTCAGCCATCCCAACAACAGACTGTTCTCTCTGTTGAGGTCAGGAAAGCGATTCCGCTCCCTGAAGACCAACACAGAGAGACTGAGGAGGAGCTTCTTCCCGCAGGCGATACGGTCTCTCAATCACACCACCACACAGTACTGACCCACACATATAGTTCTTACACACACATGGACATTCTGGACATTGTTTTCACTTCATACTTAAATCACTGCTTTGCATGACTTGGATTGCCAAATGGTACTATTATCGGAATACTGTACGCTGCTGTTATTGTGTATATATTTATTTATTTATATTTCTTCATACATTCTTATATAGTTCTATATTGTGTATTTTGTTGTACAGTTATTTTATTTTCAACTTTAATTTATATATTTTATCTTATTCTTCCCAGTTAAATTTACCCTTCATTCTAATTTGTGTTGTACAGTTATTTCATTTTTAACCTTAATTTATATTTTATTCCTTCCTAGTTAAATTTACCCTTTTTAATTTTTCATATTTATTTCCTATCTTATTCATAGCCTTTTCCTTTTTTGTTTTCTTTAGGTCACGAGCAGTTGTCCAAGCATTTCACTACATATCGTACTGTGTATGACTGTGTACGTGACAAATAAAATTTGAATTTGAATTTGATTTATTCATCAGTTTATTATAAATTACAGCCATTTTTACAGATGGTCCCCATTTTTGAGAGGCTCAAAATTAACTGATCAGACTAACATGATTTTACATATTATGTTATTTTAAGCATTTTTAATACTTGCGTGAAGAGTCTTGAGAGAGGGACTGCACTTTGATTCAGCTTCAGATGTTATGCCTGCCTCATTTGTAATGAAATATTAGGGAAACAGGCCTCGTCTAACTGCTCGTCTGTCTAAATTAACTCTGAGCCTCTGACAATGGGGCCAAACTCCACTGTGGTTGTGAACAGAGGCAAAACAAAAACTGTACATATATATACCTAAACATTTTTGGCATGACGGCAAGTGTAGAAAGAACAAAGTCAAATGGTAATCAGAATGGATTTTTCTTTCCTTTAACCAGTTTACAAGAAGGTTTTAACCATCTCAACCACCTTTTAAAACCAACAGAGTCTCTGTGATTCTTTTTGTTATATGGAACTTTTTTTAATGTATTTGCACTTTGAGACTATAATTATAATATTAGGCATTGTTGCAGTGATAAGCACTCCAGTAACACTACTGCAAGCAATATTTGGGATTAAATAGGTCAGGTGCAGCTAGAGATTTGCCTCCTTTTGCAGTTTAATGCTGTAGGCTTTTCTGATTGGATGGTAAACAGAAATGCTAAGGTAACATAGTTTTTCCCTAAACCAACTTTTTTTAAGGCCACTTAGAGTGTATTAGCAGAGCAAACAAAGTTGATAACCCATGGGAAATAATTAGAAATAGACACCATCCACAGCTAAAAATGTTTCCAGTGTGTTGCTGACTAAGTCAGTTTATACAGTGCAGCAAGACAGGCCACCATAACGTACCCCTTCAGAGTACTGCAGGAATCTCTTATTGGTCTCCTTCCTGCCAAATTTCTGTAGGAACTTCTCCCTATAGGCCAGCACAGTGTCCACATGGGTCTTGTGTTTAACTGCCAGCTCCAATGCCCTGGACACAAGATGACATGATGCAGACAGACATGCATCCTCTGTGAACAAATATGCTTCACCTTAACTCTTTAAAACCTAAGTTTAGACTACCTCCATAAAACAAAATCCTTACAAAGCCAAAAATACAAAAAATACATACATGAATAAAAATCTCCCAAAACTGCTTATACTGTCCCTTTACTAGCTGTACATTTCCAACATGAACACATATATACAGAATTATACCTTTCCCAGTTATAAAGGTCAATGTTGACTTGTATGGCCTGGTAGATGAGACCAGCTTGTAAGAAAGCAGCCTCAGCTTCCTGGACCTGACCACTGAACAGCAGCATGTGGGCCAACGATGACTCCTTAGATGGCTGCTCCCTTAGAAAGTTGATGTATTGAACTCTAGGTAACTAAAAGAGGTGAAGCAGCAGATATGCAAAGAGAGAAGCTAGAAATACAGTATCTCTTTTCACTGACAGATTCACTGAAGTTTCACTGAATTTTCCTTTTTTATGGTTTTCTGGTGGTTTACAACACTTGTGTTTAGCTGAACTAGCCAATAAGCAATGCTCTTACCTCTCCAATGGCAGCATAAGCCATCTCTGCAGTAGTCAGCTCTCTGTTTGCCATTGCCATGCCAGCGAGACATGCCCACAAAGATTGGTCCTAGGGATAAAGGGAACAACAGCAGAGAGCATCTTTTAATGAAACCATTTTTTTT